AAAGAAAGAAAGAAAGAAAGAGGGAGGGAGGGAGGGAGGGAGGGAGGAAGGAAGGAAGGAAGGAAGGAAGGAAGGAAGGAAGGAAGGAAGGAGAAGAAAGAAAGAAAGAAAGAAAGAAAGAAAGAAAGAAAGAAAGAAAGAAAGAAAGACAAAGGCATAATGAATAAGAGAAGCTAGTGTGAAAAAGCTACGCGTTTTAGGATTCTAACAAAAAGATACTTTAGAAAAAAGAAAGCTGTAGAGATACAACAGAAAAAACAGTGATTATCAGAGCTGCAAGTATTGGAGATTAATAGATCAGAGGTGTGTTATCAGAGCTGTGAGAATAACCTATAGAATATTGTTATCCCAGGGAAAATCCAGACATTGCAGTAAAGAAGAAAGAAAAAAGGAGCTTTAATTGGGGTCAAGTTAAGATCCTAAATGTAAAAGTCTTATAATCAAGGCAGATTTCGAATGTCTCACACAGATGCAAGCCGTCAGGATTGGGTTTAGAAGGCAAAAGGACAAGAAAGCTTTGTAATGTGTGATTGGTTGGATGCAAGTTTTAGGAACAGTCGTACATTAGCCTTGCTCGGTTTTCTCAAAAAAGTTAGAGAGTCTCAGAGTTTTGCAATTGCCTGTGCAGAGTTTTACAAAAGCACTAGCTATATAGAGAGAATTGTTTTTTAGTTTTCCTCTGCATATGACTTTGGTGGTCAGTGTTCCAGCCTTCATCTTGATAATCTTCACTAATTTGAATTTCCATCATTTTCTGAATGTTCTCATTTTCCAACTTCGGATCTTTTCCTCCATCCAACAATCATCAAGTTTTGTTGAAGACCATATAATTAAAGGACACAAGGAATTAATTCTAAGGCAAACAATAGGATTTGGGTAACTAGATAGGAAGGCTATAAATGTGTTGCAAAGAGGAATATTTGGAAATTCTTTTGTGTCACCCTTTCAATTTTCTTTTAAATCGATAACTGCTTTTTAAGTCTTAAAAAATAAGAACAGACTGGAAAACAACCATCTGTGGTAAACTTTCACTAGATTTTTATTGAAATAAAGTGGATTATAGCATTCTAACATATTTTTTCTGCATAGGATATAGAATCTTTCATCATTACCAAAGTCCACCTCATTACAGTGCTCCATCAAACCCTATTTATTATGTCAGCTCCCCACCACCGCCCTTTGGTCTCTCTGATCTCTTTTCTTTATTTCATGTTTCTCTTATGCCATCAACAGAGGCCTCCATGAAATATTTCAAAGAGCCCAGCCTGCCTCTAGCCCTTCAGCTATTTCATTTGGGTTGTTTGGTTCTAGAACAGATGCCAAATAAGACTCTTGGGTCTTGCCTCTTCTTCAAATTCCTGCTAAAATGACACCTGATGAGTGAAGCTTTCTTGGACCCCCTAACTTAAAGGACACTTTATTTGCTTTTCCAAAATCTCAGATGTTAATTTTCTCTTGTAATGTTTGTTATTCACTGGCATGTTGTAACTTCACTCATTATAATATAAAATGACAGTTTTACACTGGAGTAAGTCTTCTATAAATAATCATCGCACGGGTAAATGAATATGTATCATCTTTTTTTACTTATTACCTGAAAAGTGTTCTTAATATGGAGTTTATATGTTATGAAATCAATTGACGGTAATTGAAAGATTTTTTTAAAAAATTAAAAATAATGACAAGTAAGTACCATAATTATTTTAAAAGAAAAGTCACATCATAGTTAACTTTTTGTTAATATATTTTAGATATTTTACCTGTATTTCATATAATTAGGATTATAAGTAAAGATTATTTTATTTACCTCCCTATATCATAAATATTTCTCAGTTATTTAAAACCTCTTCTACAGCTTCATTTTGAGTAGATGCCCTGTGTAGGAGTAATCTGAGCTAGGAACTCTGAAAGATATTTACTTACAACTCTCTAGGTAATTATTTGCCATTATTGTTAGGTCTCTGTTCTCTGGAACTGGGGGCCCTTAGCTACTCATAGAAATCCTAGGGGCCACCAGGTCTACACCAATTGGTGTTGAGAATTTAAAAGGACATGGCACCCAGGATCAAATTCAAGACCTTGCATATATAAAATCTAGATGCAGTTAAACCACATCTCTTTTAGTTAACTACATAAAAATAAACTGAATTAAGAAGTTGAAGGGCTGGAGCGATAGCACAGTGGTAGGACATTTGCCTTGCACGCAGCCAACAACTTGGGCCGACCTGAGTTCGATTCCTTCGCCCCTCTTGGAAAGCCTGGCAAGCTACCGAGAGTATCTCGCCCGCACGGCAGAGCCTAGCAAGCTACCCGTGATGTATTCGATATGCCAAACATAGTAGCAACAAGTCTCATGATGGAGACGTTACTGGGCCCGCTTGAGCAAATCGATGAATAACTGGAGGACCATGAAGAAGTTGAAGAGCTACACATGATTTTACTAAGTTTATTACATCACATTGTTTTTTTTTTCTTTTTATTTTTATAATGTAGGAGCACTGCTATTTATTCAGCCATTGATTAAGCTGATTGAATTGGGCATAAACTCCACATTACTTTTTAAAAAAAATTTTATAAGTTAGTTCACAATGTTTGATTATATTCAATATTCAAACACCAATCCCACCACCCTTACACCTTTCCACCACCAAATTCGGGATGTTTCCATCCCAAACCCCAATCCCTGTCCCAAAACACTACCAAAATAATATTTTCGTGTTGTATATTATGAAAAACTGCTTAACACATTGCATTACATTGTTAAATCCTGTCTTTGATAAGCCAGTAAATAAAATGATTTCATATAAAGTGAGACATATACCAGTAGAACATAAAACCTGAATCCAAAAGAACCTCATTCAGAGGAATATTGAAAATAGAAGCTGTAAGCTAACTCATTTAGTCATACTGCAGTTGAACTTGATACTCTTCAAAATATCATCTTACTGAAGTTCTTAATAATTCTGCCTCTTTGAGAGAGAGAGAGTAGTGTTTGAGTAAAAACCTCAACACTGCTATTATCACTGTTTAAGAGATAAAAGTCTCTGCCTGACTTTAGAGCAACAAGTTGGTTCTACTTAGGAACATCATTTCCTTTTTTTTTTTAAACATTTAATTATATGAATTAATTTTTCAAGAGGTTTTCCAAAGGGTGAATTTGATTTTTATTATTTTGTGTCACAGGATTTATTTCTGTGAAATTAGATCAACTTAGAGGAGACAAAAACTTCACTTATTTTTAATGGCTCACAAATCTATTTTTTTTCTAGTATATAACAGTTTAGTAGATAATTTGAAACCGATTCATCTGTTATACCATCTGTCAGAAATACGCTGCAGCTGTTAAATGTCCAGCTAAATTTGAACTACAAGTCTCGAAGTAATTTGCCCTTGGTACATGCAGACCCGACAATTTCCTATTTGATTTATGACCATGATTCCTGCAAACCTGACTAATTTTCTAGCTGTAGTACTTAACTTTTTTAAAAAGTAAGACTACTGGGCCAACAAATAGCAATATAAAATTTGATCTATTTTTTTTTTCCGCTGGATTATAGTTATACCCTACAGTTGGGATTTTGTCCAATGCTTTTCGATGTCAAGGCTACCTACTTGTGGTGAGAGCGACAGTACATTGGGTAGGGCAGTGGCCTTGCCGGCAGCCAACACTGATTCATTTTCTCGCTCCACATATGGTCTCTGAGTCCCACTGGAAATGATTCCTGGTGAGCACAGAGCCAGGAGTAAGCCTTAGCACAACCAGGTGTGGTCCATTTTTTTTTAATTAAAAATTTAAAAAACGACTACCTACATGTATTCCAAAATCCCCACACAGCAAAATCAAAACCATTTTTTTTCAGATCTACATGTAATAGAGAGAAAATCATGTAAATAAGTATTTATCACAGAGGATTTCCAAAGAGCTAATTCAGAGAGAGCATCACTCCCACTTTCACTAAAGCTGTTTGATGGAGCCTAGAAATTTTAAAAGTTCTAGAGTCTCTAATTAACAAGTATTCCAAAAGAGAAGTCATTATAAAGTGATAGGGGATCAGAAGGACCTTCTCTCTCTTCTCTGGGACATAGTGAGGAAAATAGATCCAGAACATTGAGGGTGAGGTCAGATCTCTGCATGAGCAGATTTCAATTTTTTTTTTCTTTTTGGGTCACACCCAGCGGTGTACAGGAGTTACTCCTGGCTCATGCACTCAGGAATTACTCCTGGCGGTGCTTGGGAGACCATATGGGATGCTGGGAACTGAACCCAGGTTGGCCGTGTTCAAGGCAAAATTCCTACCCGCTGTGCTATCACTCCAGCCCCAGATTTCAAAATTTTTAAGAAATGCAAAAATGTCAGTCAAAGACAGACAAATTGAATATATGTCAGTAACCAAAACTAAGCTCCTCTTATAGCTTGGCTCACTTTTAAACAGGTGTATTTCTTATCAATGTGAATAATTTGTTGACTAAAATCCTTATTCGTTGACCTGAGAAGCTGTACCAGGTTCTCAGGTCAGTGAACTAAAGACTCAGACTCCAGAGCAGTACCTACCCGGCTTTCATAGTATTTATAATGCAGCAAGAGTCAAATATATGTTTTTATAATAATCTAGGTAATTTTATTTTTTAAAAAATATTTATTAGTGAAACACCATGAGGTACAGTTGTAGACTTACTTACAAATTTTTGTGCTTGGGTTTCAGTTATACAATGATCCAGTATCCATCTCTCCACCAGTGCCCATTCTCCATCGTTTATATATTTAAAAAAAATTTGTTAGTGAAACACCATGAGGTACAGTTGTAGAGTTACAAATTTTTGTGCTTGGGTTTCAATTGTACAATAATCAAACACCCATCCCTCCATCAGTGCCCATTTTCCACCACCATGGGTCCCAGTATCCCTCCCATCCCCCACCCCCCTGTCCCACCCTGCCTCTGTGGTTTATGCTTTAAGCAAAATATTATCTACAGAGTATAGGGCCAAGTTGATTCATGTAAATGATCCAGCTTGAGAAGGAGGTGCTGATTTCTAAGTTGAGGGCAGAATGGCAAGATGGCAGCTCCTTTTACACCTGGAGCAGTAAGTAGCTGGAAGACAGAGAGGTAGGTCAGGCTCATGGGCAAGGGTATACCCAGTGTGTCTGGAAGAGAAGAAAGTGACCTAGAAGAGAAGGAAATAAAATTGTGGTGAACATGTCTCATGACCAAGCTATTGCAGGCGTTGGTGAAATTTGGATTTCCTGTTAAATGAGGAGGGAAGTTGTCATTGGAGCAAGGCATCACCTGACCTCCACTTATTAAAGATCCATCTGCAAAGGAAATGGACTCTAAGGGGATAGAGGATGAAGCTGGCGATAAGTGTCCAATATGTATTTATTTAATGAATAAAAATGAACACATTTTAAATGCTTTGCCGAAAGCATACTTATTTGATGTCACTATAATCAATTGAGCAGCTGGTTTTGTATCAGTTTCTCTGAGAACACTGATTTCAAACTGAAGGGAATGCTTCCTTTTAGTTGAAAGATGTGCTCAAAGTAAAGGACCAAACATGATAACCTCTCAATATCTATATTGCAGACCACAATGCCCCAAAGTAGAGAGAGAGTATGGGGAAAACTGTCTGCCATGGAGGCAGGGGGAGGGTGGGTAGGGGTGGATATACTGGGTACATTGGTGGTAGAGAATGTGCACTGGTGGAGGGATGGGTGTTCAATCATTGTACGACTGAAACTCAAACATGAAAGTTTTGTAACTGTGTCTCATGGAGATTCAATTTTTAAAAAATGAAAGATATGAATCTAACGTAGAGGGACTATATTGAAATTCCTGCAGTAGCATCATATAAGTCACCTTATATGAACTCCAACTGAAAGGTGCTAGGAAAATTCTGACCCTCCAATGTTATTGGGAAATCTGCATAATCCGAAATAAACCGAACTCAATGTATAAAAATTGGACCGGAAGTGAGTATAGATGAGGGTTCCATCTACATGTGTGCAGACATCAGAAGTATAGATATCATTATCAGGTACGACTTTGCTTTCCCCTCTGATTCTAATATATTTTCTGCCTCCTAAGCGTATTTTTTCTTTAGCTGCTCTCTTATTTTAATTGCTATACCATCATTCGGGGCCGGAGCAATAGTACAGAGGGGAGGGCAGTTGCCTTGTACGCGGTCAACCTGGGTTCGATCTCTGGCATCCCATGTGGTCTCCCAAGCACCTCAGGAGTAATTCCTGAGTGCAGAGCCAGGAGTAACTCATATACGTCACCAGGTGTGGCCTGAAGAGATTAAAAAAAAAGGCCTTTAATTGCTATACCATCATTTATAATAGCATCACATGAATGTTTTAGGAATACTGCATCACACCCACCACCTGAGTGCCAACAGCCCTGCACCACTGCTTCTAGGTCTTTTCTTGTTCCCTTTGTCCTCCTGCAGAGGCAGGTTCATAGGAGATTCTCAGGGTCTGTGATCACTGCCCATTCTACTCCACATAGTAGTGAGATTGTTCAGTATTTGCCCTGGACTCTGGGTGTCACTGCACTCAGCACTATACTCTCCAGTTACAGAAAACTGCAGGGTTTTATCATTTCTGAGCGATGAGACCTAATTCATAGCTTCTTTACTTATAAAAGAAGTTCACCCCCCCCATCTTGGTTATTCATTTTTCAAGTACTTTTATGCTCAACCACACAAAACAGAAATAAAACAAAATACAAATAATCAAAATTAATTAAAATAATCAAAATAATCAAAATAAATTAATGGTGGCACATTAGAGAGAAATGTGATTCTTAATTATAAAATTAAAGTAGTAATAATCTAACACTTGCATTCCTGCACTATACTCTGTGCCAGTAAATTTAAGCCTGATATTTAGGCCCTCCTATAAATCATTAAAAAATTCCAATAATATGAAAGATTTAAAAATATAGCGTTTGTATGTGATATTCTGTGATGGATGATTGAGTTACAGAGAATGTTTCAGGACATATTGTAAATGTTCTTTCTTGTTTATACTTATCTGGCATACTAAGTGGAGTATGTGAGTATGTATGTATGTATGTATGTATGTATGTATGTGTGCATATATGCAGGTATCTGAAGATAAGTAATGGTGATTATTTCTATGGACCATGGAAGTTCTCTCTTTGTATTGTATGAAATGTTATAGAACCATGAGAAATATTTTCTATTTCCAATAGCATAGAGAAGCTGGAGCAAGAGGCATGCAAAGGAATGTATGAACCATTTTTTAAAAAATGGAAGAAAAGGAAAGTGTGATAGAAATGAAGATTCAGGAAAGTATGAGTTGATGTCAGTAATAACTGTTGCCTACAGGGGGAGCAAATGGTTTTCCATGAAGTAAAACTGACTTCTGAACCATTTTTTTTTCATTGTTATCATTTATAAATCAGGGATGAACAGGAAGATAGCTCAGTGATCTGGAGTTCACAAATTTATTTTTTATAATTTTTGCTTTTTGGGTCATACCCAGCAATGCGCAGGGGTTACTCCTGGCTCATGAACTCAGGAATTACCCCTGATGGTGCTGTTGGGAATCAAACCCAGGTAAGCTGCCATTCCCACTGTGCTATTGCTCCAGCCCCAGGAGTTTACAAATTTAGTATCTACAATTTGATAGCCAGTCTCATCAGGTCTAATCCTGGGGCTTTCTGACAGCAACTAGGATGACCCCCCGTGGACCTGTGTAGGAGGGACAAAGCACCTTCTGGCCCAGGGACAGGTCACCTACCGGAGTGGTCCTGTGTCACTAAGCACTGCTTGAGAAGCAACACCTCTCCAGAAAAACAAAAAATTAAAAATCAGAGAGCACTGATTCCACACTGAAAAAGCATTTTAGAAACAATGAAACAAAGGATTAGGCATCAAGACCAAAGTAAATTCAAATCCATGTTACTATGAATATTATCTAAACTTACAACTGTGCAGAACTTACTGTTAATATTAGGGATACTTCAGCATCTTACCGCTGAATATTATGACTATCCCAAGAAAATATTCATCATCTAATTATTCATGAAAATGAACCATGACTATTATTAAGTCATTGAAATTAATCGAAATATACATTTTACTTGTTAATACCTAAATTATTAAAGTTTTAAATTAATGAAAAAATGCCCGTTTTATGTTTCTTATATTTCCATATCTAATTCAGGATGTGCTAACCATGCTGAATTGAATAGCTAAGTTATTCAATTTCAACAAAAGTTGGTCTCACCCTTTCCAAAAAGAGAAGCAATGGAGGTATGGAAATTCCTGATGCCATATGGAATGATCTAAGTGTGTTCATGTATTTTTAATAGAATGCTAAAGTTAGAGAAAGTCTGAGGTGAAAGCTACAGTGTTGTTGAAGTGATGCTTGTTGAGAAAAGACAAAACACCATATTTGGAAGTGCATCAAAATAAAATATTTCTGTAAGCAGCTGCCCAACATATCAGCAGTAACAATAGAGAGCCAACAGCAGCTGAAAGAAGAAAATGTTAAGGTTATTATTAGTTTGTGTCTTCCTTTCCCTTCCCTTCCCTTCCCTTCCCTTCCCTTCCCTTCCCTTCCCTTCCCTTCCCTTCCCTTCCCTTCCCCTCCCCTCCCCTCCCCTCCCCTCCCCTCCCTTCCCCTCCCTTTCCTTCTCCTCCTCTTCCCTCCCTTCCCCTCCCCTTCCCTCCCTTCCCCTTGCCTTCCCTTTCTTTCCTTCCCTTCATCCATTTTCTCAATTCTTCCTCTTTCTATGCTTTCCTTTTTATTAAAGAGAAAATTAAAGCAACAAAAATAAAGTAAGGAATCCTAATCCTGGGAATAAAGTTTCAGAATAGAGAAGTGCTGGATATCTTACAAGTCAGAATTTGGTCAATGGGTGAAAGATGTGGCTTATATTGTCCCTAAAACTTGCTATGTGTCTTACTTATTACTTACGAGCTGAGTCATGATTTCAGCCTCTCTATATTCAAATTCCAATAATGTTCATTAAAGTATTTCAGAAATAAAGTTTTATTATGTCTAGGGCTTTTCCTAATGTTCTTGAAAGCCATGTCACTGAAAGTATGATCTGTGTAGGAAGATCAGCAGAAAATGCATGGAGTAACTGTGATCTTTAGTTTGGACACAGTAAAGGATTTCCAAATATTCAAGTAGCTGTGATCTCAGACTGGAGATCATGGCAAGTGGCAGTGGCATGGTTGTGTTGAGAAGATACAATCCAGAAATTTATAGCAGGAGACAAGTGTCATGATGGAGATTGAGATGACAATGTCTTTGAGAGGAACTAACAGCCAGAGAAAGGAATGAATTAGCACAGTTGCTCAGCTTATAATTCTGTCTAAGTTTTTGCCAGCAGGACCTATTGACTGAAAACAAGGTTTTGTTGCAGGCAAGTCTGGTCTCTTAAATTTGTCCTGATTTGGGAGATGAATGGTTAAACTGAATGGTTAACTGAAGAAAAGTGATAACAAATCCCAGCTTCAAAAATTAGGAAAAAAAGAAAAAGTTAGAAGTTATTGGTGATGAATTTGATCAATAACCCCACGTTTTTGCATTTTTTTCCTTTCTAAAGTCCATGTTGGGTTCAATTTCTCTCCTGATAGTGCTTTTGGTTCTATGGTCTTTTGCTTCTCTTAATTATTTTCTGTCTTTGACATACATTCCCATATATGTGATATAGAGCACACATTATCAAGAGCTTGTGGTTTTTATAAGAACCTATGTTATAAAAAATCTACATTACTTTGCATAGATCAAACCCAGGTTCTCACACAGCTCATTATTTTTTAATCAGATACACATGTTGATGATATCTATTGTCAACATATAGGTCCTAAAGTCCTTGACCCGTGCAAATTCCTACCTTTTAGTGGTCAGTAGAATTCCTATCTCCAGCTACTCACTTGGGTCAGGCTCTTATCATTTCATCTCTCTTTGCCAATAATTTTCTCTGGTCCAGCTTGAAATTGTGCAGAATTCTTACAGCTTGTCTGCCTCCTGATGGACTGAAATTGTGTGAAAATAAAACTCAAGACCCATCTGCTCCTCTAGACTTCATCCAAAATTCCCC